AATTGTGTAGCCTTGGAGAGAAATTTAATGTCATAAATAGCACCACTCTGTTTGATCTTAGCTGCACTTGTCAAATCTAAGCAGTAAGTACTAACCTATTAAACATATAAACAGTAATTTTTAAATTTCTTGAAAGAAATTAAGGAAAATCAAGTTATCTGAATATGTAGAAAAATAATTCACATTTTAGTCTGTTGCTTTGGCCTAAAACACATTGTATGTTTTTTTCTTTCCTTCAAAGGTTTGGTTCAAACCTTTAACTAGCAACTCTAACATCAATTTCCTCAAAAGGCCTGGCTAAATTGAGCTCTTATATCCTTTCTAACATTGTCAGTGACACAGCTTTGCTTTAACACATTGTATCAGTTAATCCTTTTCTTTGTAATATTTAGAAAAAAATCTTATTTGTTGTTGTAGACTATGTGTCCTTAGAGCTTATAATAATGAGGGACATTTGGAAATGTTGAGCTTATTTAGAAAATAGATATGATCTAAAAAACATAACTCTGGTTTTAAGAGGAAAACAACCCAAGAGAGAACAAAAGCAAACTGACCATGAAGGAATGCATAACTGAGAGGATCATTTGGTGATCTTGGGTTTCCATAGAAAATAGACAGTTGTGGTTGGTATTGAATTCAATCCATCGTTACACAAAAACAGATTATATTGCTTGATATTAACAGAAGAATGTTGCTCTTTGTTTACATTTACTGCTCTTCACCTTGTTTTTAAGGTGCTTTTAGATTTGGAATGCAGACTGGAGATAGCAACATCTTGAGAATAATAAATATGGAACTCTTCTTAGTATCTTTGCAGTGACAGTGAAAAAAATGTTATTCAAATCAAATTACTTCTGTCCAAAATCTAATTAAACAGCAAGTACTATGTATTTCTTGGAATAGTAATATTCTTATGCTAATTAAGAGTTCTCAAAAAATTTGTTGTGGAATATAAAACAGATGTCATTAATACTCACTTGGGGCTAAACATCAGCTCTGATAATATCACAGAAACACACAGAAAACTTTCTTCTGCAAGAAAAACTCTCAGACTATTTATCTGTTTTAAATATAGTAAAGACATGAAATTGAAAAATGAGACATTTCAGGTGCTTGAAAGAAGTTCCTAACATACCAGGATACTAAAGGAAAACATATCATTTTAAGTGTACAGTGTCAGTAAGAAGTGAGCTCATTTGTTGAAGAAAATATGGCAAGCATGGCTATGCTTATTTGGTGTGGAGGCTCATGACTGACAGTATTAGGTTCCATACTCAAGTAATCTATACAATTATGAATTCTTTATTAGATAAACCTACAGATCAGAAGCAAACAAACAAAGAACAACAACAACAACAACAACAACAACAACAAAAACACA